GAGTTCCAGGACAGCCTGGTATACACAGAAATCCTGTCTGGAAAAACCACAAAACCCCAACCAACCCAAAAAACAAAAACAAAAAACCACACAAAACAAAACAACCCTAACCCCCAAAGCCTTCAATATTACTGATGAGTATGCCTCTTGACTAACCCATACCACTGCTCATCTGTCAAGCCTTTCTCAGGAGCAGCTCACAATGTACTTTCATATTTTCCTGAGAATGTGCATGCTGCCTGTCATCACGACTGATCACTCCAGTGAGCTAAGGACAACTAGTCTTCATTCTTTGCTTTAAAGTCATCACAAGATGACTTACTGGGCTACCCCACTGGCAGGGAGCTGGCCTAGCATGTACAGTCTAGAAAGGGTCTGATATGCCTTATCTGGAGCTGCAGATGGTGAAATATTTACACCAGTCCATGTAAGAACAGACAGTAGGCTGGGCGGTGGTGGTGCACACCTTTAGTCCCAGTACTCGCGAGGCAGAGGCAGAGACAGGCAGATCTCTGTGAGTTGGAGATCAGCCTGGTCTAGAAGAGCTTGTTCAAGGACAGCATCCAAAGCCACAGAGAAAACAAACAAAACTAAAACAAACAAACAAACAAACAAAACACAACCAAACAAACAAAAAAACAACAACCTCCCAACTGAACACTATTCCCTGCTACAGCTACAACACCCTGACAAACCCAGTGGCTGTGTGACCCCACTGGGGCTGATGAACCATCAGTTTGAGATTAGTTTTGTGCAAGATAAAGAAAAAAGTAAGGAATAAATAGCCTTTAGTATACCAATGAACGGTTTCTTTGACAGGATCAATGGTAAGTGACTGCACTAGTGTCATGTCCAGGTACCAGCAGATAGCTTTCTGACTGAATCAAAGCACAAGGAGACCCTGATGACTGTGAAACTACCTGCACTTTAGGCTAGAGGTCCACCACACAGTGTCAGTACAGTGTGTCGGGGCTTGGCGTTCATATGTCACACAGTGTAATTTTCATTCAGCAAACTTAATCTTATCAAATCTTCTTTAATTTCATAGACAATATGAAACATACTATATAGGCACACAACAGTTTTGCAGTACAGTTTCAAAGTGTATACAGATTAGAATACTGGTGTACTGACCACAGCTTTAACTTTAGATAAACTTCATAGAAAAAGTACAATTCAAATATCAGCCAATTGAAAACTTTTCTCATAATATAAAAATGATAGTTTGAGATACAAATTATTTTTTTACTAAACAAACTATATAAACATTTAAAATAATCATTAAAAACTCAACATTAGAATTTATAAAGATTCACTATAAAAATATATCGGCAGTCGCTTCTCCTATAAAGGTACCATTGGCTACATTACAAAATAGTCTCAATGTAAAATTGTCTCAGTAACTACTTTAGAACCTGACAAACCTACAGGAAGATGATTATCAATCCTCTGGGAAGCTTTGGTATGCATCTTCAGGTTATTTAAATTATCTTAAGGGCTTCTGTAAACACTTCATTCTGTTAAAGCACAAGCAATGCTCTTAACTGCATACAGGGTTAGAGAATCAAACAAATTATTATATCCTTGTGAGAAATTGCCCTTACCTTCTGGAAGCAAAAACAAACTAAACTGTCAAATCTTCAGGACAATTCTCTTTCCATTCTGATAAAAATGTTACAAATCACCATACTCATTGTGTGCCCTGCGCCTGTTTAAAACTTCTCAAAATTCCCCCAAGTCCAACAAAACCAACTGTTACAACTCATTTAACACACCTGACAACATGACAAGGAACAATCAGACCACATAATTTACATATTTAGCAATGTATTATGCTTTCTTTTATGTTTTGTTTTTTTTTTTGTTTGTGAATTATAATTTATTGTTAGGCGCGCCCCCACACACACACACACACACACACACACACACACACACACACACACGAGAGAGAGAGAGAAATGGCAAATTTTAGGAAATAGTAAGAAATATAAACTTAGTGGGAATCGATTGCTTTACCAATGCTGTCTGCCACTTTGGTTAGACTGTTATTTAAGTTGCGGAGTCCGTTTGTTTCCTTGAGCACTTTTCCCCTGGAGCTTCCAGTTGCGTCAGCAGCTTCGATATGGTCATTCCCACTTACCCTCTGTCACCTTTGCATTGTAAAAATCTAATACAAAGTAGCTTCTTTGACCTTTGAATTTATAAAACTCCACAAAAAAAAAAAAAAATCCACCTAATTTTTAAGCAAGTCCATAAAAATACTTTTTCTTTAAAGAATCAAACACTTTTATGAGAATAAAGATCCTTCAGAGTTTTTAGCTCTTCTATTAGAGTTTTATTTTGATTTTCCAGAACGGCCACGCGGTTCTCCAGGCATTTCACGTACTCTTTCTTCTTCCTGCGGCACTCTCGGGCAGCTTCTCTAAACACAAGCATTGACAGACACATTCAGTATTACATTATTTTCCTGAATGTTACATTGTTGGAACTCCTTTCCTATATTCTAGGTCATACAATTATGTATATTTATTATGTATATTTAAAGTTTTGAATTTCACCTTATACATAAACACCCCCACCCCTTGGGTCAGAATTGAGCTATAGAGTGCAACCTGGCTTTAAAGACCACAGGCATGTGCCAGGATGTCAGCCTAAAGTTTTCTTTTTTCTTGTTCTGCATAATGGGACCAGTTACATTCTCATTAGGTGGCTCAAGCTGGCCTCACAGGAGTGACTTACACTTTCACCTGCCAAGGTCTGGCTTTCTGGACAGAGGAATAGTCTCCTTCCCCTGCCCCTCAATCTGTTTGGAATCTGCAGGAGCTGTATCAAGTGCTTTCATCAATGGGTCTGAGGAACTGTGCAAATGAACTAATTTTAAGTGACATTTTTAGCTTTGAGTGTAGTGACCTCATGTAAAGCACAGGTTGCTTTACAAGACTGCCCCCTGTCTCTTAAGCATATCAAACCTAAATCAGGAAGTGAATTTCGGCTGGACAAGGTGAAACAGACCTTTAATCCCAGTCATCAGGTGGCAGAAACAGGTGGATCTCTGAGTTCAAGGCCAGGCTGATCTACAAACTGAGTTCCAGGGCAGCCAGGACTACACCAAGAACCCTGGCTCAAAAATCAAAACAAAGATTTATCTCTAGAGCACAGCAGCATGTTTAGGTAGTAGCTTCATGATCCTGTGGGTCTACTTCATTCCTAACCTCATCAGATTTTGTTTCTTTCCTAGGTTCCTTCACTCATTGTAAAGGGGCAGTTTATACATTTGATCAATCTCTTAAAAACCCTATGGAGCTGGTTAACTTGTCAGAAAAGAAATCTTACTGTAGTAACTCTCCTTCTCTGTCATTTTTGAGACAGTCTCATGGAAGCTAGGTTGACCTCAAACCTCCCTTGTAATTCTCACATCTTACTTCCACCTCCTGCCTGTGCCACACCTGGTTTTATGTGGGACTAGAGATCAAACCCAGGGCTCTGCACATGTGGGACAAGCACTCTTGTAACTTTGTAAGACCCTTTCTTGGGGTACAAGATCTTATCAGTTTTCATCTATTTACATAATACATTTCATTTATCTTATTTCATCTCTTGCAACCTCCAAAACAGTAGTCTCTACCTTTTTACCAAACTCATCCAATCCGTGCTGTCACCTTAGTAAAGAAATGCTATTTTCAATTACACTTGTGTTCCCACGTGGTTCTTTATGCTAACTTTATTGCTTTAAAAACTTTACCTTTTGGGGGGTGTGTGTGTCTGAAGAGAGCCTGCCATACTGTAATCCTTACAATCCACTCCCCTGTGACCTTTTGTGTTGTCACTCCTAGTTTCTTGGTCCTTTTCTCTTTTTCTTCTTGAACACAGTACATAAAGTTACCCATTATATATGCATTTTCTCAAGAAGCAAGTTTTCATGCCTGGTTAGGAAAGTGAATATAGCAATAGGATATGCTCAATTGATGGTGTGCTTGTCTGGCATGTACAAAGCCCGGGCTTGATCCTCACTCCACCCAAGGCTCCATTTGGTGAAGTCAATCTGATAGTCCTTGTACTCAGGAAGTGGGAGCAAGATCACAATCAAAGTCACTGTTGGCTAGACAGCCAGTTCCAGGTCAGCCTGGGTAATGTAGACAAATGGAAATGTTTCATGGTGACTGTTAAGACGATTTGTAAAAATTTTTAACTTTAGCCAGGCTGTGGTGGTCCAAACCTTTTAATCCCAGCACTCGGGAGACAGAGGCAGGTGGATCTCTCGGAGTTCGAGGCCAGCCTGGTCTACAAGAGCTAGTTCCAGGATAGGCTCCAAAGCCACAAAGAAACCAAAAAAAGTTACACAGAGGAAACCCTATCTTGAAAAACAAAAATTTTAACTTTGTGTATAGAGGGGGACACATGCGCCATATAGTGCTTGCACCGAGGTCAAAGGACAACTGTGTGGAGCTGTCTCTTTCCTTCCATCTTTATGTGGGTTCCAAGGATTGCCAGACTAGAGCCTGTACCTGCTGAACGATCATCTGTGATCTAGATGTTACCATTAAGTATAAAGGGTTCTGCCTGCATATATATGCCTGAAGGCCAGAAGAGGGCACCAGATCTCATTACAGATGGTTATGAGCCATCACATGGTGGCTGGGAATTGAACTCAGGACCTCTGGAAGAGCAGCCAGGGCTCTTAACTTCTGAGCTATCTCCCCAGCCCTTGATGTTATCATTTTAACTGTTTTCTGGAGTCACAAACTGCCCACCTAGAACGGTAAGTTCTGAGAAATATTCTGACATTTCTGACGGTTCCAAACAGCTCTCTCCTTCATGTGGAAGTCAGGCCTCTTATATAACCCTACGTGTTTAAGTGAAAAGGTACAAATGATCCAGCTTAGTCAAGCCAGAAAATGAAGCAGCCTCAAGGCTGCCATGGCAAGGTTTTGTTTTCTGACCAATCAGAATAGCCTCAAGGGTTCCGTAATCCAAGGTCTACTCTAAAGTAAAGCCCCGACTCTTCTTTTGGAAGGGTAAGGAGAGAGGTGAGAGAAGTATGTGGAGGTAGGTCCATGAAGAGAAGCCATTTCTATGATTTAAACGGCTCAGGTAATGCTGGCTGGTACTACTTAGCAAGATGTTAGCTTTACAAATTAGTTATGTATCTTGTCTCTTCAGCACTGGATGGCTCAAGTATAGTACATGCACAACTGTCGTACCTCACATTATATACTGTGGCATTTGTTGTGGTACGGTTCTGGAACCACACCACAGAATCTCAGGTAAGAAAATGGTGTTTGAAAAAGCTTTGCCTAGCAACACTATTTTAATTTAATTTTGTTTCTCTGTGTATCTCTGCCTGTCCTCAAATCCAGAGATCCACCTGCTTCTGCCTCCTGAGTGCCGGGATTAGAGGAGTTGGGGGCTGCCATGTGGGTGCTGGGAATTGAATCTGGGTCCTCTGGAAGAGCAGCCAGTGCTCTTAATCACCAAACCATCTCTCCAGACAGTAAACTATGCTATTTCAAAGGATGAAGTAGAACAGAAGAAGTCTAGGTGATAGGCCATTTAATACAGAGACTTACAAATGACCTCACTGATACACTGGGCATGAACTAGATATAACCTATCATAGTAAAAAACAGAGCTGATCCAAACCTCCTTTCTAATTATCTAGGTAATATGTGACTGTGTTTTGAGATGTGCAGAACTTACCCCACTCTGGAAATCAATCTACTACCTACCTGTTTTTCATCAGCCGTATTTCCCTTTTCAGTTGGGGGTCATCTGTCTTTGTTGTCTGAGATGTAAGAGTCACAGGAGAAGTCATCACCACAGTTTGTGGCAGTGAAGTGGCAGACGGTGTGGTACGGATCTGATAGGTCTGCATATCTCCTGATGCAGCTGTAGAGCCAAAAAAGTGTTGGTGAAGCACCCCAGAGAGGACTTGGACAAATCTGTAGGTAAGGAGCAAACTTACTCTGCACAACCACCTGGTTGCTCGGGACGAGGATTTGCTGTCCGTCAGAAGTCTGTGCATACTGGAGGATTGTACCCTGTTGGGTATTGCCTGAATTTGTCATGGTTAATGTCTGCAGTCCCTGGACGCCATCTGTGCCTGGACTGGCCAACTGTAAGGCTCCGTTGGGGGCAATGGCAACTTTAACCAGAGAGAAAAAAATAGTTGTAAGGGTATACAATATACTAATCCCAAGGTCTTAAAAAACAAACATTTAAATAGGTTTGCAGGTGGGCATGGTGGCGCTCTCCTTTCATCCCTGCAATGGGGAGGCAGAGGCAGGAGGATCTCTGAGTTCAAGGCCAGCCTGGTCTACAGAGTCAGTTCCAGGACAACCAGACCTATAGAGAATCCCTGTCTTGAATAAACCACAATAAAGACATAGAGAATAGATTTGAATGTAGTTCTATTAGGTTAAATCACTCTTGAAAATAGCAATTATCTTAATAAAATTTTATAGGTTAGCCATATTACCCGAGGATTTAGTCCCAAATTGTGAAATAACACAATGACTCACAAAAATGGTACATTTTGGAATTCATGGACATTTCTTGTTAACTGCTAATTTGCCACAGAAATTTCTGGGGTATTAGAGATCTAATGCCCCCCCCATACTTATCTCATATACAGTCTAGGCTGTGCTCAGACTCTATATAGCTAAGAAGGCATGTATTTCTAATTAATGGCTAACTTTTTCCCCCCTTTCATACACTGGGCATGAACTAGATATAACCTATCATAGTAAAAAACAGGGTGGGGGCAAAGAAACAAACATTCTAGGGTTTTCTCTGAACCTGGGCATGGTGACACACCTGTATGACTATGAGTTCAGGATCACAATAGGCTAGCACAGGTATCAAAACAATGGAGAGTTAAGAATATTGTGTTTTAGCCAGGTGGTGGTGATGCACACCTTTAGTCCCAGCACTCAGGAGGCAGAGACTGGCAGATCTCTGTGAGTTCAAGACCAGACTGGTCTACAAGAGCTAGTTCCAGGACAGCCCTCAAAGCCACAGAGAAACCCTGTCTTGGAAAACAAAAACAAAGAATATTGTGTTTTAGGGGTTATGGAAATGGCTTAGTCAGCAAAGATGCTTGCCTGAGGACACGAGTTCATCTAATGTCTTCACACATTCTGCACACACATTAACTAAAAATTGGAAACAAAATTGTGTTGCCAGGTCGGTAGCACACACCTTTAATCCCAGCACTTGGGAGACAAAAGCATGTGTTCTGAGTTCAGAACTTGGTTTAGATAGTTCCAGGCCAGCCAGGGCTACATGTGATGTCCTGTCTCAAAAGAGCAGTACACATTGTCAACTACTGAGCCCCTTAAAAGTATGTTTCGATAGATATACTATTAGTCTATGGAAAATTTCCAAAAGAAGGTCAGTCTCCCTCATGTTTTAACTTCTACTTTCTATTGCAGACACTGGTTTACATGTTAGTACTTAAGTGATGAAGAATGTAGCTAGTCGTGGTGGTGCACACCTTTAATCCCACCAGCACTTGGGAGGCACAGGTAGATCTCTGAGACCAGTCTTGTCTACAGAACAAGTTCCAGAACAGCCAGAGTAGTCATCAGAAAGCCATTTGTGAACCACAGACCTCAGACATTTTCACTTTTTTTACATTTTCAATTGTACCTATGTTCCTGCCCTCTTAAGTGACACACCTGAGAGGCAGGACCAAACAGATGCCCTATAAATCTCTATCAGAGCCAACACCTCATTCCTGTGCCCTTTTACATCAAAACTAATGTTTGCCTTCCAGACTTTGGCTATCAGGAAGCCAAAACATAGCTGTCTGTGTACTAGAGAGTCTAAGTGACATGCCGTCCCAGAGTTCCTACTCAACTCTACCATATGCACAGACTTACATACACCTCAGCACATGACTTCAAGGTTCCTCTTGAAATTACAGTTGTAAGTTTTCTCCATTTCTTCTACATGACAAAGATATCATAGTCTCTCTTCCAAAAATCTATAACAGAAACTCTCATTGCTTGTCCTAATTTATTTACTTGCAGGGCGGGAGTGACTGCTCTCCATACCTTGTAGTACCCACTACTATCTCTGGTGCATACCGTTCCTAGCTTCCTCATATGGACTGATAGTAACATATATCAAATATATGTATGAAATACTCATAGCTGCAGATGAGTATTTAGCTATCAGACATAAGCAAACAATGTACTTTTTCTGTTTGCAAACTGCCCTGTTCTAGTTTACCACGTGTATTTACCTGTCCTGTTTATTCTAAAGCTTCACTGTTCAATACAGTAGCTACCAGCCTCATGTAGCCACCCTATAAAATTAAAGAACTCAGTTCCTTATTCCCACCAGTCCCATATCAAGTCACCAAAAGCTTCATTTGGCTTGATGGCTACTATCCTAAATACAGTAAACATTGCCATCATATATGAAAATCCTACTGAACTGAACTGCTCTAAGCACTAGTTTGTAGTTGTAGTTATTTACACTTACCACTTGAAATACTTGCATAAGCTTCTAAGCAGTTTTTTCCTTTTCTTTTCTGCTGCCTTTAAAAGTCTTTGTTGGGAGGTGCCAGTGAAACTAGTGTGTGACAATGAAACACACAGCTTTAGCTATGTCAGTGTCAACCTCCGCACTGTCACTTCTGCAACCACTGTTCCCAGTTTCTTACATGTCCAAAGAACTCTGGAGGGGTAAAGAAACCTCAAGCATGGGGAGTCAGTCTTAAAGACTTGTTCTATGGCTGGAGAAATGGCTCATTGGTTAAGAATGCTGGCTGCACAATCATGAGCATCCGAGTTCAAGAGCCTAGTTCATGTAGTAAGTCAGGCGTCCTATGTACACCTCTACTCTAGTTCTGAAGAGGAGGATTGCTGGAGTTTGCCATCAGTGCCAAGTTTAGGGAGAGACCCTGGCTCAAAGGAAGAGGTGGAGCTAAAAAGAGTACACCTGACTTCCTCTTCTAGCCTCTTTGTGTGCACACAGAAAGACACACAAATAATCAGCCTTAAAAAACAAAAGAGTTGTCCCTTTAAGTGACATTTAGAGGAATGAGGCTAGCCATGTGACTATCTGCATAGGGGTAACAACCTCAAAGACCCTGAAGAATAAAAACAATTGTGTGGGGAGGCTGGAGAGATGGCTCAGAGGTTAAGAGCACTGGCTGCTCTTCCAGAGGTCCTGAGTTCAATTCCCAGCAACCACATGGTGGCTCACAATCATCTGTAATGAGATCTGGTGCCCTCTTGGGGCCTGGGGGCAGAACACTGTATACATAATAAATCTTTAAAAAAAAAAAAAAAATTGTGTGGGCTGTGGAGGTACAGAAACAAAGTCTGTGTGGCCAGACTGGAAGGCTAACCCAGAAATGGATTACAGGCCTGGGGTATTATATTAGGTGTAAAAGAAAGTCACTATAGGGAATGGAGCAAGAATCTTATTCAAAAGTTTAATTCTCTTAGGGTCTGATGTGGTTTTAGATGGCCTCATTTAATCGAGGCTGGCCCGAACCTGCCATATAACCAACAATGATCTTGAACTCCTGAACCTCCTGCCTCTGCCTTCCAGGTTTGGGATTATAGGCATGGAGAAGAAAAATAAGGTATGAAAGGAGCCAGGTGAAAGATGGACTGGAGGCTCTCTCTGCAGGGATTCGGGAAGGTGTAGTGCTGAGAGGTTATGGGGGGCTGAAAGGTGGTCAAACGGGACAGGTTCTTTATGGATGAAAGGTGCCAATATGGTAGGTGGTCGAGCACTTCACTACCGAGCTATACTTCAACTGCCAAGTAGACTTTTGAGTGGTCTTACACATCAACATTTATCAAAACTCCCAAAGTGACAGAAGACTGGCCAGGAAAATTGTGGCATCACTTCTGAGCTGTAGAGGGGAGGAGCTCTGTGTGTCTACTATATGGAAGCAACTCCTATACATACTGTACTGTCCGCTGCTGGTCTGATAGATGGGGGTTGGAACAGACATAGAAGTGACAGCAGAAATGCCAGGATTTTCTACGTCTCCTTTTCTGCCCCGTATATCTTCAGAAGAGAGGTCTTTCAAAATTTTTCTGTAAAAAAACAGAACAGAACTCTGTTTAATGACTGTGCCCTACAAAGACACACTCTCCCACTCAACCCAGCCTCCCAAGTGCTGATATTATACACATAACCGGCTCAGGTTAAAAGTGTGATCATTTAACCAGGTGTGGTGATGCATGCCTTTAATGTCAGTTTGGCAGGCTGAGGCAGGAGGATTACTTGGATCAGAAGTCTGAAATGAGCAGGGCTACACAGTAATGGACTGTCTCAAAGACAGGAAAGAGATTAACTAAAAGCAGAAGCCAGTCCTAATCGGCTCAGTGTGTTTTATCAAATCACCCCGTCTAAATTCTCCAGGATCTAGGAGCACTTGGTCTTTAAACTTGGCCAGCTGCTGAGACAGATTGAGTTCCCACAATGCAGTATTTCTAAGAGCTATTGCTAAGAATGGCTTTAAATCTCACAAACGTATTCCCTGTGAGTCATCCTCAAGTGACCTTAACTCAGGAATTCTAGAGTTTAACCTAAGGTGCTGCTGTCTGGATGGGACAGATCTCTGAATTCTCCAGCACTCAACTAGGTTAGTGTTGGGCGCCAAATCTCGGGGCTGGGCATGAGATCTTAGGCCATGCTTGGCAGGCCACAGAGTTAACCTTTACATAGCAGCCTGTTAGAACCTCAGCTCAAGAAAAGAAAAGCTCCTTAGAACCTCAGCTCAAGAAAAAGAAACAACTTGACCCAGTCCTCCACCCACAGGCTCAGTCACCTAGGTAACCCCTTCCTGGATCTCTTACTCATAAACTCTTTACCCTGCCAAACATCCTCCTTGTGACTTCCTAATAGCCTGCCTATACCAACACCTGGTGCACAAACAACCCATTCTGCCCCTCCCAATATCCTGGCTATATAAGCTAGCCTGAGAAAAGTAAAGTTTGCCACTTGATCAGAATCCTGTCCTGTGGTCCTTCTGTGTCTCTTGTCCCCATTCCCGATCCCAGACTCTCTTGCCCCAGGTTGATGTCCTGCAGGTCAGGACAACTGGCGCCCAACATGCAGCTGGATAGAGTTGGGGATCTGGGAACTTCAGTGCTCATTAGAGGGACAGGCCCTTCCATGCAGTGAGGCATTCACGACAAGGTCGATTGTGAGCCTCGGTTGGAAGAAGACCCAGCAGCCTGCCCAGCTCTTGGGACTTTCGGTTCATGAGCACCACCTACGTGGAAAAGGTGAGTAATGGGACAAGCATTTAGCAAGGAAGACATTTCTTTCTGGGGTCACAGAATCCCTCAAGATGCAGGGAAACTTGGGTTAAGAAAAAAAAATTGATAAAATTAGCAAGGAAGATTTATATCTTTCTAGGATCAAAGAATCCCTCAAGACTTGAACTCGGATTAAAAAACAATTAAAAAAAAAAAAAAAAGTTCCTTTTTCTCAGGTTTCCCTGCCCACAGTTCCCCCAGGAAGGAACCATTAAAGAAAAGAAATGGGCTAGAGTTGGCAACTACCTCCAAGAGTTGATCATCTGACAACATGGCAGACCAGATGGTTTTGTAAGCTATGAAGTGTAACAGTAAAGTGTGGGATGGGGCCAGGTTAGGGAAGGGTCACTAGTGAGAAGCCCATGTTAGGTTAGTTTGAAAAGTAAAAGAAAAAAAGCTTCACACAATGTTCTTAATGCTATTATGTTAGAAACTGCCAGTGCTTCTTTGTTTCTGCACCTGGCTTGTGGATCCATGGAGTCCGCTATTACCTTGGCCAATGGTGGGGGAGAGTTCAACATTCTTCTTGTCGATTCCTGGGGAATGCTGGGAAGTTACAAGTGAGGTCATGGAATTAGGGAGGTTAAGGTTGACAGTGACACTAAGCTGGCTCTGCAGGTCATGGAATTAGGGAGGTTAAGGTTGACAGTGACACTAAGCTGGCTCTGCAGTGCAGGAGGGTAAGGAGATGTGGATCTCAGGAGGGACTCCTATTATGAGACAGTTGGGCCTGAAAAAATCCCTGTCCAAATTGCTGCTCTTGGCGTTTCCACTTTCGCTTTTTGCATGAGCCAGAAATGTTTTCAGTAGTTTGTTTTCGAAAAGGAATGGTGACGGTAGTCTAATATAATGCTTAGGAGTAGAGTATACATGGGGGCTGTGAGACCTGGCAAAGAATTGAGTTGTGTAGCTAACACCTCTGGATCTGTAGTTATGTGCAGAGGCCTTTCTGAAAGCTGTCTGAAGGTTTTCCTGTCTTTTCATTCCTCTCACTTAACCATTCATTGACCAAGTGCTTTTTTGTGGGACCATTTATTAAGTGCTGGAATTTCCACTTCAGTAACTATTTTGCTGCTGCAGTTTTGGTTTCTGGCTCTACAGCAAGTACAGTGTTTTCAATATAGTTCATTATGTTGTGATGTAACTTCAATGTCAGGAGAAGATGGCTGTATGTCTGAACACATGCTGACGGTCCTGTCCTATGTCTCTGACACTGCTGTCCAATGTCCTGATCTACACGCCCCCCTGAAAATGACCTTGATCAACGATCGGCTTGGCTGGCTTCGATTGTTTGGGAAAATAACCTCCTGTTACTCCTTTTTGCTTCCTTCTACCCATTCCCACTATTTCCCCATGGTTAACCACCCTCCTCCCTTCTCTCCTTGGTCCCTGATGGGGCTCCAATTATTATTTTCCTTCGGCCCTTGGGCCTTTGTCAAGCAACAAATGGACTCTGCCACTCAGCCTGTCCTGGTCCAATGTGCTGTCCAATGTCCCGATCAACCCATCTACACACACACACACACACACACACACACACACACACACACACCCTGAAAATGAGCTTGATGACACTGACTCAACTATTGGCTTGGCTGGATTCCCTCGTATGGGAAAATAACCTCCTGTTACTCCTTTTTGCTTCCTTCTACCCATTTCTACTACTTCCTCACGGTTAACCACCCTCCTCCCTTCTCTCCTTGGTCCCTGATGGGGCTCCAATTATTATTCTTTAATCGACTTGTGGCCTTTGTCAAGCAACAAATGGACTCTGCCACTCAGCCTGTCCTGGCCCAATGCTAACCCACTTCCCCACGGCAGGCTTCAGAGGTGCAGACCTGGATGGTACTGCAAGGAGACCTCGTCTTCTGAGGAATATGCCTGTGCGCAATGGGGTCGCTGTCCTAAAGCTTCCCCACCCCCACAAAAGGCATCCGGATGGTCCTCCATTTCAGATGGCTCGGAGAAGCCGTCCCCGAGGTCAGAGAAAAATGTCCTTTATAAAATCCACATAGATTCTCCAACTGGGGGCCAGGCCTCTATCCCCCTCTGCTGAAAAATTTGGCCACCTCTTTTTATACAAGGAAGGGGGAATATGTTGGGGGCCAAATCTCAGGGCTGGGCATGAGACCCTAGACCATGCTTGGCAGGCCACATAGTTAACCTTTACATAGCAGCTCCTTAGAACCTCAGCTCAAGAAAAGAAACAACCTGACCCAGTCTTCTACCCACAGGCTCAGTCACCTAGGCAACCCTCCCTGGACCTCTTACTCATAAACTCTTTACCCTGCTAAACATCCTCTTTGTGACTTCCTGATAGCCTGCCTATACCAACACCTGGTGCACAAACAACCCATTCTGCCCCTCCCCATATCCTGACTATATAAGCCAGCCTGAGAAAAGTAAAGTTTGCCACTTGATCAGAATCCTGTCCTGTGTTCATTCTTTCTGTGTCTCTTGCCCCAGGATGATGTCCTGCAGGTTGGGACAGGTCAGCTTAGTTCAACATGGCAATAACTCGTGTGCACAGACGTAACAAGGCAGAATTTTAAACATGACAGGGAAAAAATTGTGTGTCATTGTTCCTGAAGCAGTTTGCTGTAGATGACCTTGCAAGGACAAGCTGGCTTGGAGAGAGAAGTGGGAACCAAGGGGCCGGGTCCTGGGTAGTCTGACTTAACCCTATCAAGCCAGTCTTATCCTAGGTCTACCTACAAGCACAGAGAAGCCAACATTTGTCCCAAAAAACTGCTGCCAGCAAAAACTCCAAAAGGAGAGATCATAAGGAAACCTTTCCAGACACCCCAAGATACTTACTCCCTTGCAAACAAGAGCTCAACACAAGGATAGCATGACTGCCGGGATTCCTGGAAAACCACACAAGTGAGTGGGTTACAAGCAAGGAAATCAAGTAGCTTCCTTACTCATTCAGAAAGAGGACTAGTCGGAAGAGAGAATTGTTCCTTATGAGAACCCTGTACCCCCAGCTGTTCTGGAATTCATTCTGCAGACCAGGATGGCCTCGAAGTAACAGAGATCCTCCTGCCTTCTGAGTTCTAGGCCTAAAGGAGTGCACCACCACTCTCCAGCCTCTCTTTTCCTTTTTGAGTGCACGAGCATATACATAAAATTGGGTGTACAGGGCTCAATAAATGTTAAATTTTTAAAAATTACAACTATCAGTTGGGCGTTGGTAGCACGTGCCTTTAATCCCAGCACTCGGGAGTTCGAGACTAGCCTGGTCTACAGAGTGAGTTCCAGGCCAGCCTCCAGGACAATACAGAGGAACCTTGTGTCTCAAGAGAAAAAGAAAATTACAACTATCGAGCTGAGCTTAGTGGTGCCCACCTTTAACTTCTGAGGTGGAGGTAGCTAATCTGTGAGTCCCAGGCCAGCCAGAGATGCACAGTAAGACCCTGTCTCAAAATGCTAAACAAATAAAATAGCAGAGAAGAGTCCCAAACCATAGTGTTAAGAAGTCTTAGGGGGCCGGGCGTTGGTGGTGCATGCCTTTAATCCCAGCACTTGGGAGGCAGAGGCAGGTGGATCTCTATGAGTTCAAGACCGGCCTGGTCTACAAGAGCTAGTTCCAGGACGGCCTCCAAAGCCACAGAGAAACCCTGTCTCGAAAAACCAAAAAAAGTCTTAGGGGGCCTGAAGAAAAGAAGGCTCAGTGGTTAAGAGCAATGACTGCTCTTCCAGGGGACCTGGGTTCATTCAATTCCCAGTACCCACCTGGCTAGCTACACTGAAGAAAAATACAGCACACTCCTCTCTCTAGGTGCAAGGCCCCTTGTATACCTGTGCTGCACTTCCTTCCTCTGCATGACAGGCTCTATTCTGAAGTGTCCTTCACTTAAAAAGACCAACTTGGCCTTTTCAACTTCTAATCCTATAGGCAGGGGAAGAGCAGATCTACTAGCATCAAAATGCAGAGACTGCACTCCCACGAGCTCTCCAGGGTTATCAAGGTTATGTTGGGAAGGAAAAAAAAAAACCCCAAAAAAAAAAAAAAAAAAAAAAAAAAAAAAAGCACACACACCACTAGGAGACAGAGGCAGGCAGATCTACAGAGCAAGTTCCAGGGCAGCCAGAGATACAGAGAAACCCTCTCAAAAAACCAAAACAAAAACAAAGCCAGTTACTGCAGCTGGAGCGATAGCTTAGTGGTTAAGAGCACTTTTACCGAGGACCTGAGTTGGGTTTTCAGCACTCCAGGTCCAGGACATTTGATAACCTCCTCCAGCCTCTGTAGGCACTGTACTCATGAGCACATACACATAATTAAGAATAATAATAAAAACAAATCTTTTAAAATTGTACAAAGTTAACGTGTCTGTCCATTAACTGTTGATCAATGGAGTCCAAATTCCTCAAGAGACTACAAGTTCCTGATCACCTTTTTGATAGACTTCTTCCTCTTGCAGGGCCTAGAACAGGTAGACTTGCTCTCCTTCCTCCTCTCTACCCTGGATTATGCTGCTGTTAGCTGAAGGAGCTTTTCTGCTGTCTCATTCTTATGAAGATCAAGTTAGTGTTACCTAGATTTACACCTAGTAATTCTGTCCTATTTATTCTTCAGATGGACTGACCACTATACATACTTCTCAACGCACCACCTAAAATCTTACTACACTGTTTACACGCTTCATCATTCTCTGTCCCTGGTTCCTCCTACCACACAGCCTCCAGCTTTGGTCAATTCTACCATGGTACTGTCACAAATTCACTCACTCCAAATACGCGCCTACTCTTATCCATACGAAATTCAGACAATTCCAAAGGCCTTGTTAGTTGGTTGTACTACTTACAGATCCCCATTCACCAAGCAAGTAATTACTTGGCATCTACTAAAGGATGGTGACTCTGCTAAGACCTGGCATCACAGAAAAATATGGCCATCCTCTTCAAATGGAATTCTATGGGGCTAGAAAGATGGCTCAGCAGTTACTGTTCTAGCAGAAGACCCAGGTTTAGTTCCCAGCACACACATGGCAGCTCACAAACACCTGTAACTCCAGTTCCAGGGAATCTAAAACCCTCTTCTAGTCTCCCAAATATACATGCCACACACAGACACACGCAGGCAAACACCATGAACATAAACGACGCTAAAGGCATACAGTCATATACATGCTAACAAGTACAAAAGGAGCCACAGAACAAAGATCTTGTTGTCTCAGGGCAGTCAGGAAAAGGTAAGTAGAGTCTTCTGGTAAGCACATACAGGAATTAGGTATTCAGAATGTAGGGGTTTGTGGAGCGTGGCGGTATTTCAGAAGAAAAAGCATACAAAACAGCCGAATCCTGCACTTGGCTGTCCTGCTTTTATATGGCTATGAGAGTTGAAGAAAAAGCATACAAAACAGCCGAATCCTGCACTTGGCTGTCCTGCTTAGACAACTACCAGCAGAACGCAGAGACATGTGCGTTTAATCCTAGCACTTGAGAAGAGAGGGAAAGGGAATCTCTGAGTTCGAGGACAGTCTGATCTACATAGAAAACCCTGTATCAAAACCAACAACAAACCATTTTAAGTCTCAATTCTTTAGATTAAGCTGCTTCCAGCCTTCCTCTCTTAACATCTGCAGCCCTGCCTAACCATATGTGGACTCTGCAGACTTTCACAGAACGATCTGAACACAGTGGATAACCAAGTACCAACCTGTAAGATGGACGCCGGGCCAGGATCCCGTGAGCTTTCTGTGAGGAGCCTATGCTGTCAGATGAGTCCTGAGACTCCTCACTTTCTGATAAAGATGACACCTAAAAATCAGAACTGATTTTAATATGCTGAAGAATACAGATTGGGAGAGAATAGCTTTTAACTTTCAAAGAAATGATCTGTCTTCTGTCACCTAAATGCACTGTACATTACTTCAAAGCTCTAAAAGGAAGAAGGGAGAACAATTAAACAAAACTGTGGAACACACCACCTCTAATCTCAGCACTTGGGAGGGAGAGGCAGGTGGGTCTCTTGAGTTGGAAACCAGCCTGGTCTACAGAGTGAGTTCTGGGACAGAGAAACCCTGTCTGAAGAAACCAAAAAAGAACATACAACACAGTAGCCCAGAACTAACATTAACACTTATCTCTTATACTAGTTGGGGGCTGGAGAGATGGCTCAGCAGTTAAGAACACTGGCTGCTCTTCTAGAGGTTGGAAGTTCAATTCCCAACATGTAGACAAGGCACTCATACACATAAAATACATACGTAAACCTTTACTAAAAAGACACTTCTGATCTCACCCTGCACTGTATTTAGACATGCTAAGGAGACTGCTGAATCTCTAAGCCTACAGATCAAGCTCTGTGTTAGATGGAAGCTGGAGATTGAGCTGGTTCGGGGATGATGAGTTTGTATTGTTCTTCCAGAGGACCAGAGTTCAATTCCTAGCAGCCACACTATGCTGCTTCAGGAGCAATGGATACCTCTGGCCTCCACAGGCACCTGCACACATGTACAGGTGCTCACAAACAAATACACATAATTAAAAATGAAGTGAATATTTGAAATTTGGAAGGCAAAGCTCTTTGGAGTCCTTAAAGCCTTAAAATTAAACAGGCAATCATACTTAATGCAAAAGTACTTTAACATCGATAGACTAGTAAGAATAAGAAGAGAACAAAAAATGAGACTGAAGAGGAAAACAGGGGAGCCAAGTGAGTGAACTGCCCTGGGAAAACTACTGAAGGCAGGGCAGTGGCCAAGTGCTGCCACGAGGACAGAGAAGAGATGGAGGTGACAGGTGTTAATACAAGTGCATGCAATTTCGACAACTGTAGTATCAGTATCGGCATTGTCTCAGCTCAGCTTTAAATGACCCAATATGTGTAAGGCACTTTATATGGTGGACACAGTAAATATTAACTATTCTTAAACATTTTAAAACAAGCTTTAAGTAGAGACAGGGTTTCTCTGTGTAGCCCAGGCTGGCCCCAAACTCACAGAGATCCACCTCCCTCTGCCTCCTGAGTGCTAGGATTAAAGTGTGTGCAACCACTGCCCGGCATATGTTTAACTCTTAAACTAAAGATCAAATATTTGCCTAAAACTGAATTACGACACCTGACTTCATTTTTATTTTATTTATTTTTGTTTTTTTGAGACAGGGTTTTTCTGTGTAGCTTTGGAGCCTATCCTGGCACTCGCTCTGGAGACCAAGCGGGCCTCGAACTTGCAGAGATCCGCCTGCTTCTGCCTCCTGAGTGCTGGGATTAAAGGCGTGCGTGCGCCACCAATACCCGGCTGATGGGGAATGTACTGTGTATGTTTATCTTATCGATTGTTAAATAAAATACTGTTTGGCCAATGAAACGGCAAGTTAGGCAGGACTAGGAGTCAAAGAGGATTCTGGGAAATGTAGTAGAGAAGTGCTGATCCAGGCAGGAAGTGACATAGCAAGGAGACTCATATTTAAGCGAAGGAGAAACTGGAAGGGCACTCTTTTTCCCTCCGCTCCTGCTCCAGCGGCACGATGTGATCCACCGGCCAGGAGGGATGCCAACACGGCGTCCAATAAGATAAGTCTTATATCATATATAGATTTATGATAATTAAGACTGAGCTAGCGGATAAGAATCCTAGTCATTGGCCAAGCAGCTTTGAACCTAATAAAAGTTTCTGTGTATTCATTTGGGCCTAACTCGGGCAGGCGGCTGGCATAAAGCACACATGTGGTGGTGGGGCTCAGGCAGCTTTTGGCAGAAATATTTATTCTAACAGCCCGGCTTTACTTTTTAAACATAAAATAATTCAAAGAGGCTCTGGAAGGGAGAATCAGCCCTCTGCACCATCTAAACTTCCCTTGACCACCATGGAGACCAAGCTCTTTGGGAGAAGCTTGTCTCATATTTAATATCATCTTCAAGGAATAAGTCCCAGCCTGGTATGGCAGCTCATTCCTGTGACCCCAGACCTCAGGAAACAGAGAGATAATGATGTTGTGGCCAGTCTGGTCTCAAAAAAGATAGCAAATCCTCAGAATTCTGAGTTCACAACACCCTTCGTATCTCATAGTAAATTTGCATCTGACAGGAAAAAAGAACTAGTTAGTGACTCAGATAACAGCAGCTTTCACTAATCTGACAACATTGCCAGTCACTATGTGCTCAGGAGGAAAAGAAGGCTGACACTTTCCTTCCCAGATAGCTTCCTGGGACAATGATACTGGATCAGAGGTACCCTGCCATTCCTTGCAAAGAGACTGGGGAGATCATAGAGGAGCTCTCTCTTGGGAAGAGCTGGTAAGAAAGGAGGTGGAGAGGTTTGGACTTCAGATACAACACTTGGATTTGCCCAGCTCACTGATAACTCTTGTTCTAGACTCTTTCCAAGGATTTCTGTAGCGTGAACAGCTTCAAGAAATACAGTTATCTTGCTTGAACTAAACAATCCCCAGTAGTCATTTTTAAAGCTTAATGGCCAGTAAGAAATGAAGCATCAGAAAAAGCAGAAACAATAAACACCAGAATCAGACCCAGAGGAGATAGTGACAGCATTAGACATAGACTATCAAACATTTTAAGATCGATGCTGAAGCAACAGAACTGATGTTATAAAGGATTTACCAAGGAGACATTAAATCACACAAAGCAAAATTTAGGGATGGGAGCAATACCCACAAAATACTGCAAAGAAAAGTAGTATGCCAACCAGACTGGGTAGAGATACTCGGAACTTACCATGCTAGGGTGTTTAACTGTTTGTTCACCAGGAGCAAGCAACCATTAGGCCCACCCCCAAGAGATTCACAATCAATCTCAAGTCCTGGCCTACTAGAGTATAAAGTCTCAGTTCTCTTCTTGAGAACAGCATAGTTCTTTGAATGAACAAGCTATTTGAAAAGAACAAAATGGGTGTACTGAAGAAAGAACTCGGCATTGTGTAAATCTTGTAATCTGTCTCTGCTCCAAGTGTAACCTGTGGCCAGAACCTAAAAGACGTCAGGAGACATCCATTACATGTGAAGTGTACAAGCCTGGGCTTAGGTTAGTGCCTTAGGAAGATCTTCTTTGAGACGGCTCCTCAGCTGGATGGTGGTGATGCACACCTTTAATTTCAGCAGAGGCAGAAGGATTTCTTTTCTTCTTTCTTTCTTTCTTTTTTTTTTTTTTTTAAGATTGTATGCCTGTATGCTTGCACACCAGAAGATGGCACCAGATCTAGCCCCAGATCTCATTACAGATGGTTGTGAGCCACCATGTGGTTGCTGGGAATTGAACTCAGGACCTCTAGGATAGCAGCCAGCGCTATTAACCTCTGAGCCATCTCTCCAGCCCCCAAGGCAGAAGGATTTCTATGAGTTCGAGGCCAGCCTGGTCTACAGAGGAAGTTCCAGGACAGTCAGAGCTACATAAAGAAACAGTCTCAAAGCCAGGTGGTGGCACATACCTTTAATCCCAGCACAGAGGCAGGTGGATTTCTGTGATTTTGAGACTAGCCTGTCTACAAGAGCTAGTTCCAGGAGAGCCTCCAAAGCCACAGAGAAAAAAAAAAAAAAAAAAAAACAAAAGACTGGCTCCTCTTTGGGTATTAGCCAGAGCTAGATAACACAGTGTGTGTGGGTGACATCACTGGGAGGGCATTTCATCTCTATGTTTATAGTTTTTTTGTTTTTAAGGAAGGGGAAAGAGGTAATACAGAAGGAAAGAGATGAGTAAAATTATAGTAAGGGTGTCTGAAAAAGCCACAAGGACTCATACTACTATTTACCAAGGGAAAACCCCACAATACATGTAACTCCATATATCATTATACAATTTTAATGAATTTTTCCCCCCTCCTGTGACAGGGTTTCTCTGTGTAGTCCTGGTTGTCCTGTAACTAACTCTGTAGACCAGGCTGACCTGGAAATAACAGATCCACTTGCCTTTACCTCCTTAGTGTTGGGACTAAAGGTGTGCACCACTACCACCCAGCCTTAAATTTTTTTTTTTGTTTGTTTGTTTGTTTGTTGAGACAGGGTTTCTCTGTGTAACAGTCCTGGTTGTCCTGGAACTCACTCTATAGACCAGGCTGGTCTCAAACTCACAGAGATCCTGCCTGCTCTGTCTCCCAAGTGCTGGGATTAAGGTATTCGTGACCACCATCCAGCTAAAAAAAAAAAAAAAAAAATTGTTTTTAAAACTAACCCAGGTCAGGCTTGGCAGCAAATGCCTTTACTAGCTGAGCCATCTTGTTGGCCCTTAAAAATCTCTTTTAGGGGAGCTGGAGAAATGGCTCAGAGGTTAAAAGCACTCACTGCTCTTCCAGAGGTTCTGAGTTCGATTCCCAGCAACTACATGGTGGCTCACAACCACCTGTAATGAGATCTGCTGCCCTCTTCTGACCTGCAGGAATGTGTGCAGACAGAACACTGTATACATAATAAATAAATAAATAAAATCAATCTTTAAAAAAAAAATCTCTTTTAGGGGGCTGGAGAGATGGCTCAGAGGTTAAGAGCACTGGCTGCTCTTCCAGAGGTCCCGAGTTCAATTCCTACCACCCACATGGTGGTTCACTAACATCCGTAATGAGATCTGGTACCTTCTTCTGGCCTGCAGGCATACATGCAGGCAGAACACAGTATACATAATAAATAAATCTTTTAAAAAATTCTTTTAGTAGCCGGGCGTTGGTGGCACAGGCCTTTAATCCCAGCACTCAGGAGGCAGAGGCAGGCGGATCTCTGTGAGTCCAAGGCCAGCCTGGTCTCCAGAGCGAGTGCCAGAACAGGCTCCAAAGCTACACAGAGAAACCCCGTCTGAAAAACAAACAAAC